TAAACTAAAATATCATGATAAAAATTGAAAAAGTATAGTTTTATTTATTAGAAAAACAGGTTGTGTTTCATAGGAGTATTTTGATGTTGTTATGATTTAACAGTACCATTACGTTAGCCAAGCATTCATAGCAATCAAAAGTGCTCTTTTATGTTTAAAAATATTCCCACTTTTTAGAAAATACCAAATCAAATTCTGAGAATGTGTTTTTTTAATGTTTAATAAAGGTCAATGATGTTCAAAATTCGTTAGCATCCTTCTGATTCTGTTTTCTATCAAACGAAAACTTGGACAGGTGAAAAACTGATTTGAGATACGTTACTTTTTAGGCTCTATCGAACTAACGTATTTTGAGGAAGAAAGAAAAATGCTTCTTTTCCAATTGAAAATTATAATACCAAACAAATCAGACAATAGTTTTAATACTCCTACTTGGGTCTGACATACCATACGTCGTTGTTTTTGAGAGAAATATCTATCGTGAAAGCAAGTTTCACTTACGTATACATCGTTGACAACAAATCCCCTTTTCAGAAATTGTCGGAAGATTATGTTCACAATATTCTAATGTGCAAAAACTATCAGCGCAAGGATCTAAAAAAGCATTTGGAATTTTAGACATGACCTATGATGATGAATGAAACTAACCTTTAGTGTCAGTCTTATTGACAGAAATTGCTTTTGAATAGTACAAACATGATATCAATAATATTAGACAGAATAAATCGTTCATTTTTAACATTTCTCACAGTTTATTTCTGACACTGTTTGAGAACAAAGAGAGAATCAATCGGTTAACAAAAATCTGTTCTCACTGACTTTTTTTCTTTTAATATGTAATTGTTTTGCTTTCTTTTTCGACAACATTAATGATTATCTATGTATTTAATTGCTCAATGAAGAATGGTACCATACTATTTTTATTATTTATAAAGTAATAAAACAGAAAAGAAAATAATACACACCATATGTCTCCTTAGGTAACTGTGTACAGCACAATAAAATCAAATTTACAAAATAAATGAACACATTTTGCATCTTAAAATAAAACTTATCATTATCTAGCAACAAAAGCAAAACATTGATTGTCAATGTGTTAGAGAATTTACCGTCTACGAAGACCTTACTTGTTGAATCGTCATAGAGGATACGAATGGCTTGTACGACCTCTTCTGGAATATCATGACTTCGAAGAATGGCGAACATTGTCTTGCGGCAGATGGAATCGCACGCCTTCTTGAAGTCTATGAATGTTATAAAGAATGGTATCTGTTTCGCTGTAGCACCTTCCATTAGTCGTCGAAGAATGTGGATCTGCTGGATGCAGCTGCGCTCTTTGCGAAAGCCTGCTTGATTTCGTCGTAGAATTTTGTCGACTATAGGCATGAGACGATTTATCAGCATCTTGTTGTAGGTCTTTGCTGCTATTGATCTTGGAGATATTCCTCTGTAGTTGCTCATCATCTGAAGATTACCTTTCTTCGGCACAGGTACAATGAGGTTTGTAGTCCACTGGCTTGGCGCTTTGTGTTGTTCGTATACGCTTGAGCAAATTGTGTGAATTTGAGTTCGGATGAAGTTGCCTCCACGTTTGAGTACTTCTGCTGTAGCCGAACTGTCCTCTCCTGGTGCCTTGTTGTCTTTGAGTGAGTCGATGGCCTCTTTGACCTCCTGTTAACTGAAATTTGAGGTGTTGATCTTGAGGTCCTTTTTTGCTGATTGCGGAAGAGATATTGAGTTTGAGAGAGTACCGTTGAGAAGTGTTTCGAAGTACGCTGCCCATTCGTCTAGTGGCTCGGACTCCGAAGTGACCATATTGCCGTCTCTTTTCTTGACTTTGGTGATCTTCTTCTCATTCTTTCCGCTGAGATTGTTAACGATCTCTCAGGTGCGACCCATCTGATTTCTATTTGCTGCGAGTTCCAAGCTCTTTTAGTTGACTCTCAAGTTGTTTCGATTCGTCTTGCTCGTGTGATTCGGCGCCTTCCTTGGCCAGATCTCGCCATTTTGATCGTGTGGCTGGTTGTCGAAAAACTTTTCCGGCCTTGTCTCGTTCATCTTGGAAAGTTTGAGTTCTGGTTGAAACCCAGTTTGGGATTTTCTTTTTCCTTTTTGCCCCCAGTACGGTTTCACTTGTCTTCTCTACTGCGGTCACGAATGCGTCGTATCGTTTTTGAATTCGCAGTGACTCATCGTCGTCGCTTTCAGGTTGGAAAGGGGCTGAAAAGCGGTTTTCAAGGTCAATGTTGAACTTGTCTTGATCGACCGGATTCTTTAGCAGCTCCCAGTTGTATTTGATTCTCTTATCCTTTTGATGATCTGTGTTCGAAGACTCAGTTTAAAGGCGGCGCAGATGATCCGATGGTCTGAATCTACGTCTATGGAATCATAGACTCGGCAGTTCTTGAGCGAGTTTAGCCACTTTCCTCTGACTAGAATGTGATCTATCTGAGCATAAGAACCACTTGAGTGCTCCCAGGTCCAGAGTCTTTCTTTGCGGTGTGGAAAGCGTGAGAAGGCTGACCTGAGGTTAAAATTCTCGCAAATGTCAATAATTCTTTGTCCGTTGTTGTTTTTCTCGTCGTGGTAGGTATACCTTCCACCGATCCGTGGACTTGATTGATGTGAGTCAGATCCGATCCGTGCGTTAAAGTCTCCGAGAACCATTACCATATTGTGGCGGAATGTCTGTGAGCGTGTGTCGAGATTCCTGTCAAAAGCGTCTTTGTCGGCGTCGTCAGTTCTATCTGTGGGTGCGTATACAGCAACCATGGTTATTCGTGAGTTGCCTTCGAAATGAGCGACAATGATACTTGATGAGATCTTGTCCACTTGACGAAGTGAGTTGGTCATCTTTTGGTCGAATAGAAAGCCAACACCCCCGTGTCCCTCTTTGGTAGCCGATGCAAATACGCATAGTCGATTTTTGTCTTTGGTCCATTCAAATCGTATCTCGCGACCATTGAATATCTGGCGATGTTCTTGAATTGTCAGTACCTGGACGTCGAATTTGGTGCATCCTGTGCTTAGCCGATCTAATTTGCCCGAGCTGTTGAGCGTGCGAACGTTATACGATGCAATGTTGATATTAAGGCGGCTTTTCATTGATTGTGCCTTCGAACCTTCAGCTCTGTCAGGTGCCCAGGCTCTTGCAGTTTCCCTGGACTCCGTCATATGCACAGATCGTGTCTGGTGTTGTAGAGTTTTCGGGCGGCGGGATGTCACAAATGCGGACGACCTGCCGAGGGACCATCCGTGTGGTTGCTTGTGATTATCGAGAATCGGTTTTCTTTTACCCGGCCGGGATGATTAGCCCTCGATCAGAAGCTAGTTTTAACGTCGCCAGCTGCAATATCTTTATCTGATGAAACAAATGTTTTCAGAAGATTACATCTTCTAAATCTCTTCTCAGATTAACAGGCTATCCTAAACAGAAGGTCAGTTTGGAGGAAATTTATTTCAATAGCACGATTTCTTCGAAGACAGTATTAGATGGGCGAAACTATAATAGAAGAACAAAATCTTCTACTCTTGGGAGGGATTATGAAAGGTTTGTTCACGGCAGAGTGGCGTCACAGGGAAAACTATCGCATTGGAGAGAAGAATGTTTCTTTTTCTTTAACTGGTTTAAGATGTAATTCGATCGCGGACTGGATGTGGGGAAACGAGACCTCTCAATTATTATTTAAGTAAAGTACTCACAAAATACAGGAAAAATATGAGAAATAAACAATGCACTTCGCACTATGCGTAGTCAATATTCTTGGTTACAAATTATTTCAACGTAGCGATTGATAAACCTAGTTTTCTTCAAAGATAAACTCACACTCGCACATTCAAAAACAAAAAGCATCGTGTCTTGATGCGCCTTCAATATACCATATACCATTCGGGATATAAAAATATATCCTGATGTCGGGCTATATCCCGAAGAGGATATATATTACAGCTCGAACGGGATATATATCTCATTCATGAGACCGGACTGTCTGTAGTTTTGAGCTGACGATGTACATTTAGAGCTTTTCTTGTAAAATACATAACTTTGCAAAGATAGGTCGTGTAAAGCTGGGAATGTCTCGTTTTAATCAGGAATTTGCGGGCTACAATCATGTCTCATTAAGAAAGGTTCTAGTTATACGTTAGAGCTTCTGCAGAAAACCGGATCTTCGAAGAGCTAGGGGCCATTCCCATAGTTATATTCGTAATCAGCATGGTCAATAATCTATAACCCTCTAGATTCCGAGCAAAAAGCGTTTTATCTTCTCGAGAGGTTCCCTCCTTAATTGATGTTTTTTAGCGATAGATAAAAAATGAATGTAAGATGCTAGAGCTTGTGGTAAATGAAGACTAAATAAGGCCAAGTGGATTGTTCGATTTTGAGATGGAATTAGTGTCACGTGACACTATCGACTCATTTCACTTAACGTTCGTGGTACAGCGCTCGCTTAACATTTTCATCTCACCAGTTCAAACGACGAAGTACACGGATGTTATTCGAAAAAATTGACCGTATCAAACCATAGTAGACAAAAGTTTCATTGATGTTGATGTGCCACAGCTCTAATCGTAAACTGATACGTGCAAAAGGAAGAGCGTCACAATCGTATCAAACTCTGAGTGTTGTCATGACACATAAGTGCTACTCGTCTAGCAGTCCTTTAGTGTAATCAGTTTTTGGGAATTCAATTTGGCTTAACTTCCAATATTATTTTGCATATATTACATTGGCACTCTATACATATATGAATATTTGTTCCTGAACATGAAGTTTTTGATGTAAAATCTCTGATATATTGTTGAAACATTTATTAACATAGAACCTTTGTTTGTATGTTCAAATACATTTAAGTAATATTCAAAGACAGATCTATTCTAATACTTTAGTCCATGCAAGTACTTTTCACATTAGTCTTCTGTCCTGAATAGACGCTTGCATAAGTATTTTATTTGAAAAAGTATTATTACGATATAAACAAATAGATTGTTTTCTGCTTCTTTCAAGGACACGTGTACGATGCGGAGCAGGTTGATGTAGTTGGGTTCCATTGCTCGCCAAGTGGACACTGTAATACGTTTGGTACTAGAATGAAAAAACATGCACTAGTATAGGCATGAAAATAGCTTAAGTATTACAAATACACGTACTGGTGTTCGCACCACTACAGCTAAAATACTTTCCAAATCGGCAATTAACAGAATCCGCAAAGAGGCCCGCTGCTGCACATGTGAAATAACCTTGAATGAGAATGTGAAATTTGATGGTAATTGAAGTTGAGATTAAACTTTTATAAACACTTACGATTGCTGCAGTTTATGCCCGAAACACCAACTGGACATGTACAAAAAGCATGGCATGTACTACCAGTTATTTTCTCAGTGCATGAACCAAGACCACAAAGACCCACATAACATCGTCCAGGTACTCCTAAGAAAGAAATTAGAATGACTGACGGACAAGGATTGTTGTAGGCGTATGAGCCTCACCAACTAGTTCACAATATTCGCCGGCGAAACCTTGTAGACACCAACAAACAGCTCTGCCAGGATTATTAACAATATTACACACACCCTGACTTTGAACACATCGATTATTGGTGCATGTTGCGGTCGAGATTGATGTAGAGGTGCCTAAGTGAAGAAAGAGTTTTTTGTTCTCTGTGTGTCGACTGGAATCAGTTTATAATAAGTAATTTGTACGCGGCACAGCCATGTAGAGCTTAATGTATTAGTAGAAGGCAATTTGATAGACTTACAACAAGGTGTATTGAAAGTAACAACACCCCCCGGACAAAAGCATAGTACACTGTTAACTGGATTCGTTAAATCGTCACAAACATAACCATTGGCTGCAGTACATACACCGGCACCGGTAGAATCAATATTACATGGACTTGGACTATCTCTACATGCTGGAATAAGAATAGTAATTTTAAAACATTCATTGAGAGAGAGAGCATGGCATTCTTTACGAACCTGCAAATGCTACTTGAATATGACAGTCAAATACGAACAAAAATAATCCGCAAATCACGTATATCTGATGCATCCTAAACACTAAAGCATAGCGACTACTATTAAATTAGTAACACATCTTTGCAGGTGGGTAAAACATTAATTCATCCTTTATGTGTTACCTGGGCTGTTTTATTTATTGATTGATCCTCTATACTCGATTTCAAATACAAAGTTTAAAAATTGATCATCTACTTACTGTTTTGTGATTCAATCTGTTTTAATTCTATGACCATAAGAAAACACGATATGCATATATATAGTCATGTCTAATCACTAGTGAATAATATTTGTCATCGCCAAGCTTAACTGCTTACTGCCATACATAACATTTTGTTTTTTATTATTTAAGAATGTGATCATCTCAAGTTACTATGTAAAAGAACTTTATTTCAAGGTTGCTCTTCTAACCATTCCATCTCTGATTTTATTTTAATATATATTCATTACAAATCAACATATTATTGAAGTACTTAAGGAAAAATCGACAGATTATAAAGAAAAGTATCGCTCAAGCATGACACGGTCATATCATTATCCATTATGTGTCTTATTGTAGAAAAATATTACTGATATGTTGAATTGTAACGAATATATATTATTATAAAATCACAGATGGAATTGTTAGAAGAGAAACCTTGAAATAAAGCTTTTTTACATTGTAACTTGAGATGAACATATTCTTCAATAATCAAAAACAAAGGGTTATCTATGGCAGTAAGCTATTAAGCTTGGTGATGACAACTATTATTCAGTAGTAAGTAAACATGGCTATAAAGGGTGGGCCAGAAGTCCTGACTCGATTTGAATAATAAATTTTTCTATAGTGAAACAAGTGGTTGTAAATTTGTCTCTATGAAGAAAAGATGCAGTAAAAAACGCTCTACAAAATGACGATT